CGTTTTAAGATGCGTTTGGTATTACGAAGACCCACATATAGTTATTCCAGAGCATCTTCGAGAACTGGGTATTATTGAATAAATATAAAACTTTAAATGCTTTCACGAAATGAAGCCCTAAACCCTTAATTTTGAATACTAACTCAATGTACAGTAAAAATCGCTTGGTTTATTATTTATAACTTTCAATGAGATTATTTACAAAAATAACATTTTCTAAAAGTTGGCTTAAAATTTATGAAACGATCTTCTGTTATGTTATAAAAATATTCCATAGCATAAATTTATCTCTTAACCTTCGCAACTTTTGAAGGCGATGGCTTTGTTTGAATAAATTCATTAAATTTTCTTTTCAATATCTGTACTGAATCACTATTATATTCTGTTGTAATAGTATTTTCCACTTCGATTTTAATGATCATCTATAACAGAATTAACTTAGAATAGATCAATTAGGAATCAAGAATTTTTATTATTTCGTTAACATAAACTTACCATAAATTCCAGCAATTTTAACATATCTGCCTTCATCATAGAAATCTGATGCGGATTAGAAGCAATATTTAAACTTCCATATTCTTCATATACATACACACCATCTTTCCACATTATAACTATTTTGATTTCGAAAAGATAACCTAATGCTCCAAAAACAGCACGGTTATTATAATTTATGTCCCCTTTTCCCATAGCACGTAATATTCTAGAATTCAGGCAATCTCTCATTTCTCTGTATAATTTAAAAGAATCCGTTGATAATTTTGTGAGGTCAGGTTGAGTAGGAGGCCCAGCTTGTTCCCCGATAAATATTTCTTCGCCAGTTTTCCACATCCATGCCAATAAGTCTGCATATTTTCCATCAACCACTTTGTCTATTGCGTGGTTATATCCGTAATTTTTTCTGTATTTGGAAGCCAGTACAGGGACTTCCATGCTAAGAATAAAAAAATAGGTTCAACATAATACAATTGAAAATAATGATATTTAAATTCAATACTTACGCTCTCCAATCTAAATTTACGAAATTTTGCAACGCATTTGAAAAAAAACGATGACCAAATTCTGATCAATAATGGTGTTCGCTACTGTTTGAGGCATTGATATCTGGGATTGGTTTTGTGAATGATTCAATTCTGAAATATAAGATATTGGTTATAACAGGCAATAAATAATAATAAAGCCTTAACCAATACTTACATTGGAAGCATAACTCGATATAAATATTCCTTAAGCTTTATTATATTTTCAGTATCTTCCTTTTTTAGAACATTCAACTCTTTTGTAATGCGAATCCAATCAGAAATATTTTTTCTTGATCCACCTTCCGTTGTTTCCTATGAAGTAATATAATCTGTAAATAATTTGTTGTTAATAACGAACGAAAACTATAATATGTTATTAC